CAGGTTGCACAGGAAAGTGTCCAGGTGGGTTTGAACATCTCCAGAGATGGAGACTCCACACCCTCTCTGGGCAGCCTGTCCCAGGGCTCCAGCACCCTCACAGGAAAGAAGCTTTTCCTCATGTTTAAGCAGAACCTCCTGTGTTCCAGTTTGTGCCCATTGCCCCTTGTCCCATCGCTGGGCACCACTGAAAAGAGCCTGGCCCCATCCTGCTGACACCCACCCTTTAGATATTGATAAACACTGATAAGGTCCCCTCTCAGTCTGCTCTTCTCTAGGTTGAACAGTCCCAGCTCTCTCAGTCTTTCCTCAGAGAGATGCTTCAGTCCCCTCATCATTTTTGTAGCCCTCTCCAGTAATTCCTGGTCTCTCTTGAACTGGGGAGCCCAGAACTGGACACAACATTCCAGATGTGGCCTCACCGGGGCACAGCAGAGAGGGAGGAGAACTTCCCTTGACCTGCTGGTCACACCCCAGGAGACCATTGGCCTTCTTGGCCATGAGGGCACATGGATAACTTGTTGTCTACCAGGACTCCCAGGTCCTTCTCCACAGAGCTGCTTTCCAGCACACAATGACACATGCTGTGCTGTCCCCTTGCCAGCCCCCAGAGCAGGTATCACACAGGAGAGGAGAGCCTCTACAACAGCTGCTCCAGATCTGGGACATTTGGCCCACCAAGGATATGACCAGAGCTGCAATGGTTCGGGGGAGCTGCAAGAGCCCCCATGAACTCACCCATCCCCATCCCATCCCACAGCAGCACTCACTTCTTACGTGGTTCTCTGCACAGTACATCATGTCGGCCGGGTGCACAAACTGGTACCCGGAGCCTCTCCTGCACAGCTCCGCTTCCGTGTAGCCCAGGACAACACTCCCCCTGGAAACAGCACAGAAACCCAGTGACACCGGGGATGGACCCCACCACTGCACCCACCCAGCCAGATGTGATCCCCTACCCAGCACCCAGGCAGTGAGCCAGAGCCTCCTGCTTTGGGTGGAGCAACTCTCCATCCTGGGCTGAGCTGCATCTTCTCCTCCACAAAACTGTCCTGGTGTGGAGCTGGGCCAGAGCT